AGCGGCGGCGCTGACTGCTTTCCTGTAGAGAGGCGACCCTCTGATCCCTCCGGCTCGCTGCAAACCCGAGGCGAGACCCACAGCCCGAGCGCACACCCCACCTGGGGCCTGGATGAGACCCGGGGTCTGCCTTCCCCCTGGCTTTACCCTCTGATCCCGGACCCCGCGAGCCGCGCACCGCCCTCACTGTGGGTGGAGAGCAGGGCGGTGCAAATCGCCTTAGCCTGGCGAAGCCAGGGGCTGGCGGCCGAGCCGGGGGCACTCGGTTACCTGGGTTAACCAGTTGGGAGAGGCAGTTAGGAACTCTCCCGAGGAAGGATGCACAGTGTGGACCCGGGCTGCCAGGCAAACGAGCTACTCCTACTGCCTCCAAACAAAGAAAAGAAGGAAGCTTCAAACTTTTACCTTTCCCTTAGGAAGTAATTTGCGTTGGGGTGCGCGCTTCACTTTCCAGCCGAGGTACTGGGGTGCTCTCGGGAGCCAAATGGTTGCCTGGCTGCCAGAGGGAGGTTGTTTCTCCTACCGGGTCCCCTTTACTGAGAGGCGGCAGAGGTTTCCCTGTGAGCAAACAAAAACTTCGTTCAGGCCCGGATTCAAACTTAATACAGTGGCAAGTTTCCTTTATGGGAAAATAATCACTGCGGAGCTCGAGAGTACATCCGTGCGTTCAAGACACCCATCCGGCAGCCAGTGCCAACCCCTAGCGTTTTCATGGGTCCCTGGGGAAATGGGAGAGGAGGGGGCATTATAGACTGTCACCCAGCAGTACATAGTAGGAGTGCCCTTGTCAACTAACCCTTGCTTCACAGGGACTTTGCTTTGTTTTTTTATTTGTTTTGTTTTTTGTTTTTTTGAAACACCTCTCGCTGCATAGTTCAGGCTGGCCTTGAAATCACTATGTATCCCAGGGTGTCCTCCTCAAATTCCTGGTAATACTCTTGCCTCAGCCTCTGAGTTCTGGGATTATGGATGTGCACCACCATCTCTTTTAGTTTAAAATTACGTCCTTTTCATTTTTTTCCCCCTATGAAGTTTTCCTTTACTACTACTTAGTGACAAAAGTTTTTAATTTTTTGGCAGAATAAAAACCCAGCAACTGTACATTAACTTTTCTTCTGTTTGTTTTGTTTTTTAAAATCTTCATGTTGTCTGAAATTGAAGTTTGGGGACTGCTAACGATATCTTCCAGTTTGACCTGTGATTCTAATAAAAACTCAAATATTTTTGGTTCCAAGGGATTTTTAGTTTTAGCCATTTCTTTGTTTTGTTTTATTTTTTGTAGTACCGGGGATGGAACTCAGGCCCATGCGCTTGCGAGGCAGGCAGTGGAACCACTGTGCCAAATCCCCAGCCCTCCAAGGGATTTTTAAAAGTCATTATTTTCCATTTGCATGGTGATTTCCTTTTTTCAGAGTTCATGTACAGTCTCTTGAGGGTCTTCCCTTTTGCACATGGGCCCAGGAGGACAAACAACTTTCACCTTGCCCTGCCATGGCTTGGGAGTAGTGACCAAAGACCATGGCTTTGTCTGTATGGTGCCGTTTTCCTGCCTCACTCGGCTCACACAGGGAGAAAGCACTGAGCCATCCGTGGTGGTTCATTCCAGCACCTTCAGGGTTCCCTTTTCCTCTTGTCCATCCCTGTGACTGCAGGCTCCTCTTCTGCATTTCCTGTTACAGTTCCGCCAGCCCCTGGAAGGTTGCTGACCTCTTGCCTTGGCCTTCTCCCCCTAGTGCCTCGAAACTTTGCAAGGTCAGAAACTTTGCAAGGTCAGACGGAGCCTGTGTGACTTCTCCCAGTTTCCAGTGTTGCTGAGCCAACTTGACACATTTTCTGAATTTCTTATCTTTCCCTTTTTTTTTCTTGAAGCCCTGCAGGTACTTTATGCAAAGATCCTTTCTGTCTTGCTACCAGGAACATGATCTGAAAGAAAAGGTTACTCAAAGAAAGGTGACTTGCAGGCTCTCACCAGTCTGGGTGTCTCTAGAGAGACCATGGGTAAATCCAGCAGGAAACTGACCTTAAGTTTCAGGGGCTCATGTTCCACAAGTCCCTGCCGGCTGACAGCCACTGTCCCCACCCCAGCAGAGGTATCTCTTGCTCCTTGGGATCCAGTAGCCTCTGGACTGGATCCTAGGACAAAACCCAAAGCACTGTCTAATTGGGGTGAGGCTTTTCCATGCCTCCCTTTCTCTGACCGAGGGAGGAGCTTGTTGTGCCACTGCGGGACTAGAGTCAGGTTTGCTATGATAGTTTATTTGTCAAAACCATCAAATGGTCTTTTAGCAAATGCTCCGCAAATTAAAATGCTCTGAGCACTAAACGAGCCCTTTATTTTATTTAGCAGGCTCAGACTTGGGTCGGCAGCGCCTTCCCCCCGTGGGATTGGGAGGTAGTCTCTGCTGCCTGAAGTTGGCTGGGTTTGCAGCTCCCTTCAGGCAACCAGGCCTGCACTCAGGCTTGGGCTGGAGACTGCTGTTTTAACATTTTAACTCCATCCTCCTTGAGTCATGGGGGTTTTCTAAAGGAGATTGAGGCAGAAAGGGAAGGGCCTAATTAGCCCAATTAGTATTCCTCTCCCGCTTGTTCTCCATGCTATTTAGCTACTGAGGCAACGGAGAATTAAAATATCTAAGTCTTTTGGCAGGAGGTCTTTTGTGTCCGCCTGCCCTAGTAACAACTTTTTTCTTGTCAGCCTGGTTGTGAAAATATTCTGAGAGGTTTTAGGGATATCAGTGGTGCAGGACAGTGACACAGTGTTAAAATAGCAGGGTCATGTTGGCTTGGCCAGTACAGCTGGGCTCGTGGACAGGGTCTCTCTGACAGGTATTTCTGGCTCCTGGGTCTGCAGGCTCTGGGAGGCCCATGACCATGGTTTGTTACCTGTCTTCCAGTTGGTACAGGGTGAGTGGCCTTTCTAATTGTAAAGGGCTGTGTATTCCCCGACACCCACTTGTGGGCGAGGTCTCTTCTGGCTCTTGTAGAAGCAGTGTTTGACTCCAGGGCCCCTTGGCTCACCCTGCGATGGGCACTTCAGTGTGGCACTGTGGCCTGGTGCCCTCTCTTTGCTGGGTCCCCTCCCCACCTTGCCAGATGGTTCAGAGTCGTTGACTTATCTGTGGTAGGGTTGGGCCTCCTTCTGCACTCAACTCTGTGGTTATTCCCAACTCTCAGATACCCTTCTAAAACTCCAGGTGGACCGAGGAGTTAACCCCACGATGGCTTTGATACATCCAGCCAGGCTCTGTGAGTCTCTCGCTTTTCCCTGCCTTTCTCAGGGGTTCCCTCACGTACCCGGCCATTGTGGCCTCCACTGTACCCCATCTCGCTACCCAGAGCCCTTGTGTACTCTGCCACCTTTCCAGAGCGTTCTGGGAGCTGCATAGCCGGCATACTGGCCCCACAAGCCTCTTCTCAGCGAATCCTGCTCAGCTAGGTCCCTGACTACACTCAGCCAAACCTGCCACCTCTGTCCCCTTCCTTCATATTCTCTTGTTCACTGCCCATCTCTGCCAGCCAGGGTGTGAGGTCATCGGGTACAGGGGCTTTTGTTGGGTCATGCGTCACTGTGTCTGCTGTGCCCAGAGCGGGGCCTGGCCCCGTGGGGTACAGGACGGGCGAAGGTGAGTCTTGGCACTGGGGCTGGCGTGGGAGACTTCCCATCCTCACCTGCCTGGGCCTTCTGCAGCTGGCATTGAAGTCAGGTCTGTGTGAGCAGCTTGTCAGGAGATGTTTCAGGAGGAAGAGATTGTGAGAACTGGTCAGGATGCCCTGGTTGGAGTCCTTGATAGAGGCTGCTTGATACTTTGCTATGGGAAGCCGAGCAAGGGTAAGTGATTAGCTGGAGGTCATGTGCTTGGTACTGAGTTAATCCCCTTGCCCCCTTTGTGGCAATGGCCTTAAAAAACTTTTACAAATATAGACGTTTTAGATTTACAAAAAAATTGAGAACAGAGTCTCCATATACTGCCATACTGGGCTTCGCATGTTAACATCTTACATTAGTGTGGTACATTCCTACAATTAAT